ACTCAAAAAATTTTCACCCGAAAGCATTAGAGCTATTGCTCGAAACCCAAATATAGATTTACAATCAATGGAATATATTCAAAATCTGATATCCAACATCACATTAGAACACAACAATTCCAGGAATTATTAACACAAATGGACACTATACAAAGACAATCAATTGACCAAAACTTACGCAAACTTGCCGAAACCGCAGGATTTGCAGACATCTATACACAAGATTATAGCGGATATTTTAAAGACATTAAAAATTATATATATCTAAACGGTGAAAAATACAGACCACAAGATATTTCACCTATAAATATTTTTAGCTTTGTTACACTAAAAATTGAAATTCTCGATTTTCTAGGATGGCCCTACTACATCTTCGAAAAATTGACTATTTTATACGCAATGTTTAACTTTATAGGATTTCTTTTCTCACTACTAAAAGGAATCTATAATACATGCGCTATACACACACAAGTAAATAGACAAGCAAGTGTAGCACGCATACTATTTGCAGGATTTTTTGGAATTTTTTCATCATCAATAAACAAAATCCTTCTAGACGCACAAATAAAAGAATATAACACAAAAATAGCGACAAGACAGAACACGTACGACGAGGAACATAATAATATAGAAGTAACGCCTACAACACCACAGTTGCCACCCCTACCACATAACCATCCATTATCATTAGTCCCACGAAATTTCCGAAACTTAGCAATAACACATAACCCAAATTTTAGACCAAACATATCGCAAAGTCCCATGCAACACATAATGACACATCATTCACAAGATGAAAATACATATGAACAAATTATAGAACAACCACCACCGCTTTTCAGTCTCAAAATAATAAATTTTTTAGCCCACGATGAGCCGACAACTTGGATCCCTACACCGCTCAAATTCCCACCCAACCAACCTCAACACTCCAATTACAATAATTCCACTTTTTGCTTTCCCACCACCCGATTTTCCAAATAGTAATATAACATCAAGCATGAATTCAGACACTAATTCAGATATTTCAGTTTTATACTCCATTTCACAACTAAATAACCCGAATATAGAAACCCCTGACGAATTTGCAGACTCCGAACCATCTCCACCCAATAATTTTCAAACCAACTCCTCAGTTTTTTCAAAGCCTCCTTTTCGACCAATCCCAACAAATAATCCACTCCCGTCCGTTTCTACTCCCTCTTACGCTTCACAAGTAACCCCAACCTATTCTCCATTTCATTCCGACCGATCATCTAATTCTCCCGATACTCCCCAAATCTCCCAAGAACTTGATAATTTTATAACCCCACAACAACAGCTATTACACCCTAACAACCTCACTATAAATCAAATTTCATACACAGTAGAATCCTCAAATCCACCTACTCCTACACCCTCTTCAGCTTATACTACATCATTAGCACAATCATCCACATCCACCGAATCATCAAATAGCACTAATAGAGCTTACCGCACTTTTAAAAGAAAATTCCCGAACCATCCATTCCCAACCAAACCAGGAACAGCCCGTGAATATATCAACCATCCACATCACACTAACACGAAAGATTTTCTAGCAATCACCTTACCTTCATTCCCACAATATACTTTAAACACACCTAACGACACTAACGACACACGTAGTTTTGTAGATGAACATGTTTCAATGCCTACACTTCATTGGACAACATATTATCATTTTACTAATCCCCTTTGCCTACCATTATCTAATACTCATACCGATATAGAAAGAAATTAAGATATGCTATATCGACTCACCACACCATTAACACACAGACAATTTACTTATATAGGATATAAAAAATCACTAAAAACATACACTGCACCCCGAGCTAACGAATTTACGCTAGAATATTACGATCATAATATCATCCGATCTAACCAAGACCAATTTTTAGATGACGACCGCTTCGCTAACCCACAAGAAACAGAAATTTTTTTCATCAAAACACCATATGTATTTACAATATATTTGATCGAAAATTTGATCACATCATCTCTGAAGCACTAACTGACATGCAAGCTTATGAAACTTTTAAAGAAAAATTTCAATTATTTTCACTAACTTTTCACTTCCTTGCACCACATGAACGCAATTTACACTGCTCACACGACATTATGTTACGCACTAAACAAACCCACACATATACGTATTATCGCTTCATACAAAATGATTTTGATCTCCACACTCCATCAAGACAACCACACCACCGTTTTCAGTTTCTTAATTCAAAGTACACTTCGCCATTTTTTCTAAATTTCACATATTGCATTAAAGATACTAACCTCCACGGCATCCTCCGCAACTATGACCCAATAACACAAATGTATATATTTTGTCCCATCACGAAGACCTTTAATGCAGAAGAATCCAGACCCTTCCTTATCCCACATGAATTTATCCAACCTATAGAAATCCCTATATTAGAATTCATCCATAACACTAAATACAGTCACAAAATATATAATCTCATTCAAAACACACCTTATGAGTTTGCAGTTGACACCGAAGAACTAAAAACTATTAAAGCACTTCAATTGCTTTGGCCACTGCTTCAAACTAAAAACATCATTCGCATACTAGCAAAATTACTAACAAATTCAGAAATAATACACGACATCTTCCCCCACGGTTTTTTCCCCGACGACTAACAGGTAAGTAAAATTTATACATATTCTTCACTAATAAATTTAAAATAAATACTAACCATTCCTTACTCATGTTTCTTTTAGATTTTTAGTCTTCATACCACGATCATCTGCAAAAAACAAGAAAAACAAAATAAAAACTTGTTAAATTTATTCTAAGCTTCATTAATATTCTCCACAAAATAATTTAATAAAATTTATATCAAATGAAGTAAATTAATTTATAAATTGTTTTCCCAAAAGCAGTAAATTTCATAATAATGAAAATTTGTAACTTAACTTTTCCCCAAAACTAGCAGTAAAATTAAAATTCTATGTAGTAAATTGATAAAGTAAAAATGCGGTACTAACCTTTTGATATTTTCATTCACTCGCACAAGAATTCTATCCAAACTCGCACAGCTCGCCCACGAAGAATTGTTTAAATAATGAATTTTAGTTTCAAGTTTTCACACTCAACAACTCTAACATACAATAACAAGTCTCAAACTTTCCTTTAACCCGGTTGGAAAGGAATTATATACTAAACCAAACTAACCAACGCAGCTAACTAAACACCACAAATCATAAAATAACAGCATGACTAAGAAAAGAAAACCAACGGTACCCAAACCGGATTAACCCAGTTTAAAACTGGATAATTTATTCTTTTGAAGACTATTATAAAGTTTAAGAAAGAAATAATAAAACACAAAAAAGTCGAAAGACGAACTCATAACAAAAACAATTTGATTTTTGAAAAAAGGACACAACCAACGGAACATAAGAAAGACCACCATAAGCTCAACATAAAACGTTATCACATAACAGGACCTCTCACAGAAACCGCACGAAACCATACTCCCACTCCTGGCCTAACCCACCAGAGAGGACGTCCTGAGCATGCTCTATAGCCGGCCTAACCCACCGCGATACATCCACGCTTTGTGACCACACTCCGATTTTTAATAAGAGGTACTCAATGGTGAGTAACTCTTCAAAATAACCGAACTAAAACAAAAAGCTTTTGTGAAAACAACTAATCAAAATCATAATTAAAACATTGAACTAATAAAAATTTTATAAAATGTAAAACATACTTTGCAGTATATAGATCAGCATACAACAACAAAGACGAACATCCAAAGACAAAGTGACCCCACTACACTCGAAAAAGAATGGCCAACCACAACCAAAATGCCGTCCACAACCACAACTCAAAAGATTTAGAGTACGACTTGACTTCGCAGAAAAGGACTTCATTGAACTAGACCAATGACCACCTCGATGTTCAAGTATACGTACAGATCCGAGTTACAAGGCATCCCCTCCACTCACAATCTCCACGCCATTCCCAGACGCGGCTGAACACAAAACAAGTTCTCTACATAATACGGAAAAACCCGTCATAGCAAACCATTTTGAAATCAGATTGATTTCGTTGGGAAACACAGTCGTTGTCACAAGAAGATACACGAAGATACGATGTTCGCCCAATACCAACGTTCATCATCCATCCTTTGAATTGCAGAAAGATAATTCTAAAAAACTCTGTAAAACCCGGATGGGTGGAACCTGATCTAAACTATATTTTATGATTGGATAAATTAGATATTTTACCACTGTAAAGTATTTAATATTAACCAATCATGATCCATCTAACTAACAACCCACTTATTTGTAAGTGCTGAAATTACTTGTAATTTCAGCACCAGAGAGATTTGAATTTAACTTAGAAATTAGTTGTCTCTCCGAGAGAACTTCAGCAGCCGCAACAAACCAGTATACCCTAGATCTATTGAGCCTAGCAGAGACTAGTTAAACACCCTGAGACTAGTAAGTATAAGAGTAAGATTAGGATCGGTATTAGACTAAGAAGTTGCACGAATCTATCTGGCCGAAAATAAGATGCGTGACGAGCAGACGGTGTACCCTATCCGAAATTACTCTATGAGTTAACCACATCGGTCCTAACTCACTTTGCTAAAGGGGAGATTTGTTACTAGGTACAAAATTTACATATGCTCAACCATTGAATTATTTTTTATAGGGATGGCGATTCGTTACTAGTTATCCTAGAGAGGGAAATATTTAAAGAGACCCAGTTAGTCGAACTTTCGACCAATCAGAATGGGGAGGAGATTCTTTAATAGGCACCATAAGGGGAGTGTTAAGTAGATCCAAAAATTCACATATGTTCAATTATTCCTTTTATAGGGGGCCATATATTGTGAGTAATTGAACTTTGTATTTCGATTTTTATGCTAGTCGATACGATTTTCCATTCTCAAATTTTTATGCTAGTCGAGCTTTATGCTAGTCGATACACCGCCGTTTTGTTGTTTCAGCTTTGGGGTATTTAACGACTTGGACGAATTCTTGAGAGATCCTTTTTGGGCTGTGAAGTGCAACTCCACAGGAGCCCTAATCCTTCTGACCCCATTTGAGGTCAACAACCTATACGACACACTGAATAAAATGAATCATGCTGTACTTTTCATGTTCCAACCGTACCACCAAAAACCATCAAATTCGATCCCTGCTCTCCAAAACATGCGTGGATTTTCAGTTCCCAAGGGCCATTGTATGGCTTTCGTCGATTTGGTTCAATTTGCTGAGCTAAACTTGTTTACAGGAAACCTATATTTGGAAAACGCGGAGCAAGAACGTTGGATTTGCAGCTATTTAGGTGAGCAGTTAACTTGATTTTGCCAATAACTTTAAAGTGGTTTCAAAATTGTTACACAATAAGTTTCTTATCATAGTTGAGAAATTTCTCCATTCACCGATACATTCTTTTTAAAGCAAACAAGACTGCTCGTATCAGGACGAGGTCCTGAATGTTCCGACTGCCTTTTAAGGTCTATGGAGCAGTAATAACATGAAAAACTTAAATGTAATATAAAAACGATATTCTTTACTTGAGGTTTTCTCGGAAAATCATTCCCCCATACGCCATATAAAGTACTGAGTGAAAGATTTTGCTCCAAGTAATTAATGAAAGTAACGGAAAATTTGTGCTCGGGGTTGTTTTTTTTTCAGACAGATTTCGACTTTTTAACTAGCTATTTTTGACTAGATTTATTTTTATCATTCAAAAGGTATTATTGTCCTAAGCTTAAATGTAAAAAGATATCTTACCTGTGATCATTTTTCTGGGAAATTTTGTATCATTTTGAGTGTCTAAAAATCTATTTGAAAAAATTTGGATAGATTTTCCTAGCCACTAAATTCCATCTGAATCTTGCCAAAATCCATTTGAATTTCTTTATAAAAACCCTGAAAGTGAGATCAATTTCATTTTTTTGTCGAAAGTGAAAAGTGAGCCAGCTGAGCATTTTTAATAAAAATTGTAGTATTGCAAAATGTACACTAACTTATGGTTTAAGTTAGTTTTCTAACACTTTACTAACCCTTCGATTTGATAAATTCTTTCAAAATCGGACTCACTTTTTTGTGCTGCTTTTAGCCTGGATATTGAAAACAAGAAAGTCGCCAGTTAGGCGGACTGGTTGACTGTCTTGCCTTAAAATGCAGATAGTGCCGCGCCAAAGCCCCCATAAACTTATAATTAATAACGCAATTGCAACACTGATAAATTGCCCTGATTTTTTAAATTATTGATTCTGTATGCTAAAAAATCAATCAGCTGCAAATGTCAATTTCATCACGAGTATAAAACAAAGGGGGGAAAATGAAGTTTGAAGCCTAGACTGCAGGTGCAGATTTGTCTCAGCCAAAGAGCTGAGAAATAATTTAATCTGAGTCGCCAGAACTGTTATTTTATCCACTCACGATGTCAAGTAGAATTATTTTCTTTTTTTTATTTATCAATAATTTTTCTTTAAACAAAAAGAACTTTTAAAAAAATATAACATTTCAGAATGAGCAGAGGTAAGATTCTAATGCTTTCCTTTAATTTAAATCAATGCAACTTAACCAAAATATACCAAACCTATTTTGTTTTTTCTAGACAGTTGTTCATCCATTTATAAATAATTTAAACTTATTTAATCAACCCTTTTAAGTCATCTGTTTATATAATTATCTTTTTAATTCTAAGACCAGATCGACTAAGATCTATGATAAATCTAGTATGAGACTTATGCTTAACTTTTTTAGTTACTAATTGAAAAAAAGGGATCTAACAATCGACACACCCTTTTGTTTAGTAAAAAATTGTTTAGCAGCGCTTTGAAAAATTTAGTGTTACTACAAAAACTAAGTAATGAAGACTCATATAGTGCCTTTTTTGTCATTTTAAAGTTGAAAATTTAAGGAATAATAATGTATGAGAAAATTGAAATAAGCTGAAGATTTTTGATAAATTTTTTACTTCGTCGTGGGACAACAATAATCAATAAAGCATCGAAGTTTTTACTCACCGAGCTAGAAAACTGTATTTTTGAATCAACGTTTTTTTTCATTTGCTAATTGTTCTGACCATTGAAAATGAGAAGAACTTTGTTTTCGGGTGCGTTTTAGTTTTTTTTCCACGCAAAGGTACCACAAAAAATGGGCCGAGTGATATATAATGTGAAAGCCCCTTTAATCGTGATTTGAACGACATTGAAAAAATTCGATAATTTTTTTATTGTCTTCTTGAGCTCAAATTAGAAAAAATCAGCTGTTATCTTTTTTCTTGGCAGTATAAAAGATAATAATTATCGAAGTTTTGATTCGAATTTTTTGAGTTTTTAAGAAAACTTTTCTCTTATGAATTGATATGTGCATCATCTTGTTTCTTTTAAAGTTAGGTTAACCCAGCTCCCTCAAACAAACATGTGACGCCGATTGGCTAACAAAATCCAATAAGTTTTTTAACATTTTCAATAGCCTTGATTTAAACTGTTACCAATATATTTCTTCTCCTCTGTTTTCACTTTTTCATACAGTTTTTTGTCTTTTGAGGTCTTCTGCCCCTCCCACGAACATCAGAACAAGACAAGGCATTCCAGGATAAGTTAATCACTTCGGATGGATTTGTGAGACTAGATAACAGATCAAGGGTGCCTGGAACAGAGCAGTGGAAATGCCCTTTCAATAGAATAAGTCCGGTGTCCGCTGTGCTCGATCTGATCAAGCTTCGAAATGTGGAAATGTTGTATCCTTCTAGCCACATGCACAGATTATTTTCGAGATGCCACTCCAACTTCGAAACTTAATAAGAAGGAAAACTCAGAAGAAAAAACGGAAAAATGTTTCAAAATTACCCTCAGAGCTTCCAAATAATCCTATTTACAAACACCTCTATTTGACATATAATAGGTGTTCTAATAATGTTTGACAGCTTTTAAAAAAACTAATCCTTATTATGAAATTAACAGATGCTGATTTATCCCGAAAAAATAAAATGCGCGACCTTTTGAAGAGGATTTTGAGAAACTACCTATTTAGTTGCTGATAAAATTCTTCTTGAATGCTATGAGAACTTGAACTACTTGTATACTTAACTTGAGTTTCATTCCTATAACAATTGAATCAAAATGGGTGGGTGCATGTTTAGTCGGGGCAGCGGCGCCATTTTCTTGAGTCACGAGCATGACGGTCGCACCTTATTCGCTTTTGAATGCGTAATTTGGGGCGTTTCCTTAAAAGCAAAAACTGGGAAACTTCTATTTTTGGTAAGAAAATCTGAGAAAGTGAACTTCGTGAAAGGATGGCCACTCCAAAGTTTGGTCGCACAAGTCTGAAAGTGAAAAGCGAACCGGAATCGGGAATTCATAGTCTCGGAGCAACTATACAAGTTGGATCTGAATCTGGATGCGGTGCGACCCACGAACTCTGGACTTGATTCTGCGACATCGACAATCCCAGATGGCAAAAAACTGTAATTCATTTAATATCTTCTTAGTCCGGTTCCCCGTATCCAGAAATATTCTAATCTGTTTGGAGATTTCTTGTTTGGTCCAATAACTATTTCTTCTAAAACTGATCTTGATAATCTCTCTTGAACCACATACCCTCGTTTGCACTCTAAATGATGTGCGGGAAAAACCGATGCATTAATTCAGGGGTTGATTTGGTGTGAAGGCGGGTTATGACCACCACGTGAACAAAAGGATGCCTGAACTGGTTCTAATTTACGACATCCATTTTCGACCGAGCTACCCTTAAGTTGTTCTAAGGACGCCTTTGCAGCTACAATTTAATAATATTGAAACAAGAGCGCGAAAAAAGAGAAAATTTTTTCGGTTAAATTTTTCCGCAAAAAACGCAGAAAAGTTATATATTTAACCTGCTTGCACCTAAAGAGGTTGAAAAAGTTTTCAAAGTTTGCTTTGAAATCAGCACTTCATAAAATCTAAACAAAATACCTATATTTGAAATTTTTACAAATTAATCTGCATATTTGTATACATTAAGCCATAGAACGGCCATCACTGAGAAAAACAGTTTAATCAAGATCCACATTTTTAAAGGGTAGCATAATCCTTAGCAACCCACCTTTCAAATCGGAGCTTTTTAAAAATCACTGGAATTATCCCTTCCTATAACATCATATAATCACAGTTGTATTACAGAGACCCGTTTTGCGGAGACCCTTCAAGGCAACTTACACGAACAACTTTTTAAACATTCATGGATTGTCATAGAAATTGTAGAACAAGTCGGCCAGGCCTGGTCTGACTAACATAAGGTGATTTTAGCTAACAGAAGTCTCTGTCAGTTGAAACATGTTAGAAGACTGCTGAATAAGTCAGTGTAGAGGCTTCCGGCGCCAATCTGAACAGGGCGGCAGTGCAAAACCAAAACTCAAAAATTTAACTTACGTCTTACATTTGAAGCACTGGCCAGCGCTAGCCATAGAAAGTACATCACCACCTAATCAGCCCAAAACATCGAACCAGTAATCGAAGCACACCGGAGCCCATCCAACTATTGCGGACCCAAACACCCGTGCGACAACACCACCCTAGTCGATCAAGGGAGGTCATCTAGCAAGATTTTTAAAAGAAGATGCATCGCTTTAGAAGATCTAGCAAGATTCTTACAAAATCTTGCAAGATGACCGACCTCCTTTAAAGATATCATTTTTTGGCAACATATTTTATAAAAAACATTTTTTTTTGTCACAAATAGCTTTAAAGGGAAGACAACCAAGTAGCGCTTGTGAAAGAAGGAAGCAATATTAGCTACGCATACATACACACAGCCCGCTAGGCGGTTACCCCCAAAAAACTTTAATAATTTTGAATTGTTTTGATCATTGTTTTCGATTTAATTCATTTTGTATATCTTTTTACCGAAATGTAAAATTAAGATTGTAAATCAAATTAAGCAAATTCACCGAAAAAAAATTAAGAGAAATAAAACTCAATTTTATTAGGAAAAATTGCACAATTTTTATTTAATATCGTTGATTTGAATAAGAAGAGGTCATCGTTTGCCGTAAGATTTTTTTATTTTCTCAATCTAAATTCAACATGCACTGATCATATACACAAAATTCTGTTATCTCGTTGTTTTTTCACGAAATTTTTCTTGGTTGCTCATCTTGCAAGCTAAGCCACCAATTGAGTTAGGTCCGATGTGGTTAACTCATAGAGTAATTTCGGATAGGGTACACCGTCTGCTCGTCACGCTATCTTATTTTCGGCCGGATAGATTCGTGCAACTTCTTAGTCTAATACCGATCCTAATCTTACTCTTATACTTTCTAGTCTCAGGGTGTTTAACTAGTCTCTGCTAGGCTCAATAGATCTAGGGTATACTGGTTTATTGCGGCTGCTGAAGTTCTCTTGGAGAGACAACTAATTTCTAAGTTAAATTCAAATCTCTCTGGTGCTGAAATTACAAGTAATTTCAGCACTTACAAATAAGTGGGTTGTTAGTTAGATGGATCATGATTGGGTAATTTTAAATTTTTTACAGTGGTAAAATATCTAATTTATCCAATCATAAAATGTAGTTTAGATCAGGTTCCACCCATCCGGGTTTTACAGAGTTTTTTAGAATTATCTTTCTGCAATTCAAAGGATGGATGATGAACGTTGGTATTTGGCGAACATCGTATTCTTGTCCGGTTCCTCTTGTTAGAGAAGTTCCAGGACGCTGGAGTTAGGGGCAACAATCGTTGTGTATTCTTGTGACAACGACTGTGTTTCCCAACGAAATCAATCTGATTTCAAAATGGTTTGCTATGACGGGTTTTTCTGTATTATGTAGAGAACTTGTTTTGTGTTCAACCTCGCCTGGGAATGGCGTGGAGATTGTGCGTGGAGGGGATGCCTTGTAACTCGGATCTGTACGTATACTTGAACATAGAGGTGGTCATTGGTCTAGTTCAATGAAGTCCTTTTCTGCGAAGTCAAGTCGTACTCTAAATCTTTTGAGTTGTGATTGTGGACGGCATTTTGGTTGTGGTTGGCCATTCTTTTTCGAGTGTAGTGGGGTCACTTTGTCTTTGGATGTTCGTCTTTGTTGTTGTATGTTGATCTATATACTGCAAGGTATGATTTACATTTTATAAAATTTTTATTAGTTCAGTTTTTTAATTATGAATTTAGTTAGTTGTTTTCACAAAAGCATTTTGTTTTAGTTCGGTTATTTTGAAGAGTTACTCACCCTTGAGTACCTCTTATTAAAAATTGAAGTGTGGTCACAAAGCGTGGATGTAGCGCGGTGGGTTAGGCCGGCTATAGAGTATGCTCAGGACGTCCTCTCTGGTGGGTTAGGCCAGGAGTGGGAGTATGATTTCGTGCGGTTTCTTTGAGAAGTCCTGTTATGTGATAACGTTTTATGTTGGGTTTGTGTTGGTCTTTCTTATGTTCCTTTGGTTGTGTCCTTTTTTCAAAAATCAAATTGTTTTTGTTATGGGTTTGTCTTTCGACTTTTTTGTGTTTTATTATTTCTTTCTTAGACTTTATAATAGTCTTCAAAAGAATAAATTATCCAGTTTTAAACTGGGTTAATCCGGTTTGGGTACCGTTGGTTTTCTTTTCCTAGTCATGCTATTATTTTATGATTTGTGGTGTTTAGTAAGCTGCGTTGGTTAGTTTGGTTTAGTATATAATTCCTTTCCAACCGGGTTAAAGGAAAGTTTGAAACTTGTTATCGTGTGTTAAAGTTGTTGAGTGTGAAAACTTGAAACTGAAATTCATTATTTAAACAATTCTTCGTGGGCGAGCTGTGCGAGTTTGGATAGAATTCCTGTGCGAATGAATGAAAATATCAAAAGGTTAGTACTGCATTTTCATTTTATCAATTTATTACATATAATTTCAATTTTACTGCTAGTTTTTTGGGGGAAATTTAAAGTTATAATTTTTCATCATATTTAAATTTACTGCTTTATGGGGGAATAATTTTTAAATTAATTTACTACATTTGGTATGATTTTTATCAGATTGTCTTGTGTAAATATTAATGAAGTTTAGAATAATTTTAACAAGTTTATTTTTTATTGTTCTTTTCTGTTTTTTTTTGCAGATGATCGTGGTATGAAGACTAAAAATCTAAAAGAAACATGAGTAAAGAATTGTTAGTATTATTTTAAATTTATTATTTAAGAATATTTGTAAATTATACTTACCTGTTAATCGTCTGGGAAAAAGCAGTGGGGAAAGATGTCGCGTATTACGTCTGAATTTGTTAGTAATTTTGCTAGTATGCGAATGATGTTTTTAGTTTGGAGCAGTCGCCAAAGCAATTGAAGTGCTTTAATAGTTTTTAGTTTTTCGGAGCCTACTGCAAACTCATAAGGTGTGTTTTGAATGAGGTTATATATTTTGTGATTGTATTTAGTATTGTAAATAAATTCTAATATAGGGATTTCTATAGGTTGGATAAATTCATGTGGGATAAGGAAGGGTCTGGATTCTTCGGCATTAAAGGTCTTCGTAATGAGACAAAATATATACATTTGTGTTGCTGGGTCAAAATTGCGGAGGATGCCGTGGAGGTTAGTATCTTTGATGCAATAGGTGAAGTTTAGAAAAAATGGTGAAGTGTACTTCGAGTTAAGAAACTGAAAACGATGGTGTGGTTGTCTTGATGGAGTATGTAGATCAAAATGATTTTGTATGAAGCGATAGTATATATATGTGTGAGTCTGTTTAGTGCGTAACATAATGTTGTGTGAACAGTGCAAATCGCGTTCATGTGGTGCAAGGAAGTGAACGGTTAGTGAAAATAATTGAAATTTTTCTTTAAAACTTTCGTAAGCTTGCATATCAGTTAGTGCTTCAGAAATGATGTGATCATTTTTTCTATCAAAAATATTGAGTGTGATTACATATGATGTTTTGATGAAGAATTTTTCTGTTAGTTGTGGGTTAGCGAAGCGGTCGTCATTTAAAAATTGGGCTGGATTAGTTCGGATGATATTATGGTCGTAATATTCTATTGTAAATTCGTTAGCTCGGGGTGCAGTGA